GCCGGTGACGACGAATCGAAGGGTCCAAAATATCAGAGCTAACTTAGATGGCAAATAAACGAAATACATTTGCATTTCAAAGACAATTTACTCAACGTCTTGTTAATTAGATCACACCGCAAATCTTCGATCTAGTTTGACACTGGATTCCCGCATTTTAGAAGCACTTCAGCGAGTTTATGACATCTTGTACTCGTTTTTTCTTTTGCGCTTTCCGCTCGTCGCTACGGCGCTTCACCGCGATTTGAATCTGCCCATTGGCTGTCGGTGCATGCCCTGTTACATCGCCAAGATCAAGTTTGGTCGTGAGCATGCAGCTGTTGGCTTGCTGCTGACCAGACTGCATGATCGCGCAAGAGAACGTGCGGCAACTTGTTCTTGTTCGGATCGGGTAACGCTACTTACTGACTGAGTTGATTTTTATTTGACCCTTCGTCGCTATTTTCGCAGCTTGGAGGATTTTTGCTAGGTTCAGAGATTGTTTGTCTTTAGTTGCGAAATCAGCTTCGCTTTCTATTGTAGTGGCAAGATGAAACCCAACACCAAAGCTCGAACGACTGTAACTTTTCTTGTACCCATCCGATTCTTTCACGAAAAGCACCGTTGAAAAGCTCAGTATCTTCTCTTTAACCCTAACGCTTCAGCCCGTCTCTACGATGTGTCTGTCTAAAGCAATACCTAAACGAAAAATGTGCACATCGCGGAAACTAAAAAAAAATCGAGGCTATGTTCCAACCAGCTGCTGAGCAGAGGCCTGCTCAGCGAAAGCTTTCAGCACTCTGACTTAGGATATTTTTCTAATCTAATATCCTACGTTTAGGCATATCTACAAGCTGATCTCTACTCCTTCGTATTCAGCGAGTGCCAACGACGCCAGTTCCTCACGAGTAGGCGCAGGTATCGTTTCTGACGGCGGCCGTTTATCCAGGTAATTTTGCTCTTGCTTCTGCACCTTCTTGTATGCCCCCAGCCACTCTTTTCTTCCAATTGCATTCAGTCCAGCCGGAGTCTTCTCGCCCAAGTCTACGAGCGAAGTTGCAGGGTCCAAAGCGATCCGATTTTTAAGCGTACCCCATATCATTTCTATCGGTTGTAACTCTGGGTGATAGGGTGGGGTATACAGCACCTCGTGCCCGTGCTTACGTGCCTCTGTCATGGACATGTCCATCGATGCCAGCTCGCTTCTCATAGTACGGTCTGGAATGGCTACACCTGTCATACTTAGTATTTCGGCGCAGATGTGCCTCGACGCTTCGATAAATTACGGTCTCGTATTATATCGGTGATATAACCGTGCAAGTCCTGAACATGAGAGCGCGGAGGGCAACCTCGTTTTGACGGAGGTGCCTCCAAGTCGGCCTCGCCGTGTTTGTTATAGGCGGCAACTACGCGTGCACAGTCTTCTGAAACCGCAAGACACTCGGCTACACGTTGCCGTACGGCACGACCTAAAGGGCTTAGCCGTTGCCGAGCTTCTGCGAGAAAATAGCGGTGAGCATGTACGATGAGCAGTTTTTCTTGGCTAGTTCGATGGGCCATGGCGTCTTAAATAATGAAGCGGTGTGGTTGCAAACAGGAAATATACGTTCTACATGAACCAACCATTCTTTTAGTGGTCTCGGGGGCCGCAACGCGTTGGTAGCGGCGAAGTAATTGCCGAAAGTGTCGAACAGGTGTTGGGGTTCATCTTGCCAGTACAATATCTTGCTTCCGGTAGCCACAGACTTTATTTCTCCATCTTCCAAGTCGGTTAAGTGTTGGTAGTCTACGAAGAAGACACCAGTGCAGGCATCAGCAATCGAAAACTTGGCATGGCCATAGCCCACGTATCGGCTCAGATCCATGACCTAGCTGCGTATCAAGTGCAGCTGCAAGCCACCAGCAGCTACCAGCTCAGCAGCAGCAACTCTACACAGCGTCTCATGTGCAGCAGGCGCGTGCAGAAGCCAAATAAAGAACTGAGGTGCTTGCAGAGATTATACACGCCACGCAAATCAATTCTACTGCTATTGAGCAGCACGTTAGCTCACAGTTGCACTTGGCAATTTCGGCTGCAAATGATGTGGTTCAGGCTCAAGCGAGAGCTATCTCTGAGGCTCATGCAGCCCAGCACGCCGAGATCCGCGACATACGGATGGCTGAAACATTGAAGTAGATGGAGATGCAGCGTCACACACGATTCGAGCAGCAAATGCGCGTGATGATAGCAGCTGAAAATCGACCAACTTACGCATGTACTTTCTCTCATTCTGCTGAAAAAACAAGGGAGAAGTATTAACCAAAACTGATTTCAGTTAAACTAAGATGACTTTTCGGGAGGGGAGACCGCACGCCATCTTCTAGCACACCGAAGAATGTTGTGGCAGATTTAAAACCCCAAAGGTCAGCGCGCAGGGCGCCATCACGTGCCA